GATAGAAAGACAGAACAAGAGAGCAGGAGAGATGGAGAGTCAGGACCCTAAAGGACACCTTACATCCTGTTTCAGACCCACCTGATTTCCACATAGGTCAGACCCCAGCTCAGCCCCTTCCCAGCTGCTGCCAGTCCCTTCCAGTTCTTTCCCTTTTCTGAGCTCTCCCAGCAGAGTCCCACACTCAGCAAGCCCTACCTTGTTCAATGCAAAGCTGGAGGCCACAGAAAACTTGTTCCCAGCAACAGGTTTTCTCACTCACAACCAGTTCCTCTGATGTATTCAACAGACACCTGAATAAAACAGCAGAGACAAATTAGGTTCCTCTGGAAGAGCATCCTACTATTTGAAAGTGCTGTATCTAGTACTGCTTGTAAGAAAAAAGAGACACATCCATCCCCCGCCTCCCCCAATTTTGACCAGGCAATCAAGTTTCCAGTCACCAACATGGAAGGCTGAAACAGTATTTAATGTGGCAGAAAGTTTGGATTCTGTAAAGATTCAAATTTTTACTGGTCTTCTACCAGTAAAGCACTTACTGGGTTTGTCCTAAGTAGAATGGCTGCACTTCATCCCTTGTTTCCTCCTGGCACTCTGTGTTACAAAGGTAAAGACATGCTGCAACATTTCATCATGCTATTCTGCTATAGAAAGTTTATCTAAAAATTTAAGCTGTTTTATCTATTTTCACAAGCATTTAATGTTTTATTATCCATTGTCTGTGTTTGTGTGTTTTTTTTTTCAGGCTGGAAGAGTAAAGATTCAGTCCCTAAACTGGTTGCTGACTACATGAAGAAAAAATTTGTTCTGGATCCATTAATAACCCACACACTTCCTTTCACTAAAATCAATGAAGGATTTGATCTGCTAAGGACAGGGAAGAGGTAACCTTTGTTTAATTGTAAAGGTTCGTTCGCTTGCCCCGCGTGTGACCATGGGTTGCAGCTGTAGCACTAAAGCCAGCAAAGCTTTAGCTTTTGAAATGCAGTGGGCCCTGTCTTGCCTTGCAAAGGAACTTTCAGATTCTGGTTTGAGCAAAGACCCTGGGTGGCAGAGGGAGAAAAGACCACCCAAATGAGGAAGTCTCTGCCCACTTCCCATTGGAAGACAGCGCACCATTGTCACTAAGGGAAAAGCTTCCGTGTTTCAGCCCCAAATAAGCCGTACCATTACCCTTGGAGCCATTTGTAACTGGAAAGATGTGTCTAAGCCCCCCTCCAAGGACTTCCCAGGCTATGTTTCGTGGTTAATTGCCAGGAGCCCTGGGCTTCATGAGTGAAGGCTTTGCAGGCTTGCATGAATTTTGTTCTCTGCATCTGCAGCAAGGTTTGCACATCTGCTCTGTCATTTTGCTGCAGGCTGGGGCTGGGGGGCAGGACAGGGAGGGAGTTCCCTGGTTTGACTGAGTTGCAGAGAAAACAGCAGTGCTTTGTTGATGTTAGCCCGGCCACTAACTTGTCATGTTATATTGCAGTATTCGCAGTGTCCTGGTGTTTTAGGATTCCCAGTTGTTAAGCAGCAGATGGCTCAGCGGCAGCAGTACAAACATCATCATCCTCCAACACAATTGATCTAAAATACAAGCCAAGGCATTTCTGAAAGGTTCACCACCACCACCCTTGAATAAAAGGATCAAGCTCAAACCCCAGACTTCAAGCAAAGCATTTATAAGTGAAATAATCTTTTTCCTCCTGCCTCTTTCTCCTGATTCTTGCTTTAAATCCTCTGTATTGTGCTGTAATTTTCTTTTAATAGCCAGCTATGAATTACAGGTCTTGCTGCTGTCACAGGTGTTATCAAAGGTTTTGATTTTTTTTAAATTGCTTTTAATACGCAATCTTTTAATAAAGGAAAAATGAAGGAAACTGTTTCTTTGGGCCTTTGTAATACTGCAAACTTAACAGATTTGTGTGTGCAGCTCAGCCCAGTAAAACTCTACGTCAGAACTGTGTATCCATCTTGAATGATTTTAGCTTTCCATTATGTGATAGGCAAGGAAATTAGTGCGGAGATCCAAATTTATGGTGACCATGTGTTTGAATTAATAATTTCAGTAAATGCTATTTGAGTAAATCACAGACTCAGGTACTGGAGAATGTCTCACCACTGGATATTTTACCAAATTAACACTTCCAAGCGTTTTATATAAAACTGCTGCGGTATTGTTCATGTTGTGGTTTGGGGTTTTTTTTACCTTTGTACCTCTTTCTTGGGGATGCTTTAGTTGTTGCATTGGTATGGCTTTAGATCTTTGGCCAACTTATACAAGTGCATCCGATGCTTGGGCAACAATGGGAAGAAATATGAATGTCCATCAAGTATTGTTATTTGTTTCCATGAAATAAAGGGGAGGTTTCTTACCCTTTAAGTATGAATACAGAGTAAATGGGAAGAAACAGGTGACTGCTAACAGGTGGCAAGAAATCAAACATAAAGCATCTTACTGCTTTCGGCCTTTGGAACATGGAAACAGGAACAGAAGCTATTTCTGCCTCGGCAAACATGGTCAGCATTGAGTTCTCTTTTGCAAGTGCTAATCGGAGCTTGCAGGCACTCACGTGTGTGGTAGCAGGGTAGAAGAGCCTGTGATGTAAGGGGACTGCGTGCTAAGGATGACTTGCTTGTTTGTGTCAGCAGAAAGAGTCCTTGAGCGGCCCTGCTAGGTTAATGATTTGAGGATAAGTTTACCAAGAGATTAGATTACCAACAGAAGAAGGTCCTTAAAACAAATGTGTGTATAATAAACTCAGTTTACACAGCAATTAAGACCCAAACTTCAATCATTTGTTTATGTGCGGTTACCTGTGCAGTCAGGTCTGAAGATTTTTTCCTGGACCATAAAATTACTATCTTTCAGGTGCAGTTCAGTTGGAGAGTCGATCTCTTTCAAGGCACGCTGTGTGTGAACTAACAGTGTGAACTGGATCGCTATTCAAAATAGAAAGAGAGGGAGTTTAATTCCACTTAATTGATCTCATCTGTAGCAATACGTTTTTTACAAGAGCATAAGAGTATCTCAATTCTCAGCGTATTCTAACAGAATGTTTTCTGTGGAGGCCAAGCTCGTTTATCGTACCACTAAGATACGTTTAACTCATTACTTAGAAGCCAAAGAAGCCCTGTTAAAACCTAGCTTGTGAGGACAGAAGGAAGGAGTACAGAGAGGTAAAGTATCCCCCACATGTTTTTTCCAAGGCATTCCCTATTGCATGAAGGGTAGAGAATATAACAGTAGTCATCAGAGTAGAAGAAGGAAAAAAATAGAGCTAGGGAGTAAAGTACAACAAAATTCCTCACTTCTGTCCTCTTCAGGATCATGAAAAGTCCGTTTCTGTTGTTGTAATCTGCCAAGCACAGTAAACACCTGCTGCTAGTATCTTTATTACGATAGTTGCTGGGGTCCAAAACAATAAACCCATGAAATCATTCTTATTAGGGACATTTTATAAGGCAGCCATCTAGTTCTGTCTTCATATGGAAGAAAGAAGTGGCTTCTGACTGAAAAATGACAAATAGTTCACATGTCCTAGAGTATTTCTCCCCTCGGATCCCCATCCCCACTCACCTGAAGGTTGATTTGTGTGATAGTGCAGCTCTGGACAGCGTGTTTCTGCCAGCCCTTCGCAGTGGCTCTCTGATGCTGAGGTACTCCAGGTGGGTGCAGGGCCACATGTAGCAGCTCTGTGTGAGCCTCCATTTAGGAAGTTTCCTTTGAACGAGCTAGGTTAATGATTTGAGGATAAGTTTACGAAGAGATTAGATTTTAACAGAAGAAGTGTGTGTATAATAAACTCAGTTTACACAGTTAAACTCAGTTTACTCCCCATCAGAGCACAATCTCTCCAGTAGCACATGACAACACTATGAAAAATCCACAAAAGACATGAAAAAGCCAGCAATTTCCCCAAGAGACAAACTCTTTGTCTGACAAAGCGCAAGCGGTGTTTCCTCAGGCCTTACAGTACGACAGTGTTTACCGAACATCACTTGGCTTCGTGTACAGCTGAGCGCTCCCACGTTTCTGCTCTCCCACCACATCCCACCCACCCAGCAAGTCCCCTGGGAAGCAGCACAGGACGGTTGTGTACCTCCAGCGTGGAAAGACAGGTGCTGTGCAGCTCTATTTTTGTGTGCTTGTAAGATCGCCCTCCCTGACTGTGCACCACAGGTAACTGATCATTCCCACGCAGCATAATCCCCTCTATTGCTTCCAGGTCATCAGATGGAGAGCACAGATCCCAGTAATAAAACCCACTGTGCTACACATAATTGGGAGTGACCTCCCTCACAAACCGGGTTATACAGGAGTGAAACAAATGTGTCCTTGGACCAACCCCCCACCCCAAGACATTCTCCCCTTACTCCCCAGGTGAAAATAGCTGCACCACCACAAACAGTTAAGCTTTGCTCCCAGAAGGCCTGCGTGTTTGCCCACCATACCAGCTTTTCACGGTCTGTTGGTTTTTTTTTTCTTTCTTTAAATTTTTAATCCTTTTGCAAATACTTTGCGTGAACCGCTGCCAGGTCAAATACTACCCCTTGGCAACACGGGGACCTCGAGGAATCCCCATGAGTGCTGCTGATCTCCTCCCTCCATAGCTGCCAGAAGCAACCAGAAGAGAAAAATCTTTCGGCGCTCTCTGTGCCTTTCAGGCCGGGAGGGCAAGGGCACAGCCCCAAGGCACAGCCACCAATAAAAGCCTCCCTGGAGACCTTCTGGCTGTTAGCCATCTCCCTGCCACTATCCAGCTCTTCCACTCAACGCTCGCTGTGCTCCTCAGGATCCGGCATCGGACACAGATTAACCACAGCTCCCCGTTTTCCGGTGACAGTCCCCCACCAGGACCCCCTCCACGCTCCCTGCCTCCCCTTCAGCTGCAGCCGGTGGGTGCCCAGGAGGGCTCCGGTTCCACGGCTGGGACATTTTGCAACACAGGTCTTTGTCAGACAGGCGACAGCTTCCCTCCAGCCTGCTGCAGCGACAGCTCTGCTAAGACCACATGGCCACTGCTGGAAAAGTAAGGACAATGCATTTTCCATCTTCCCTTCCGAGGTGCCCTGCTCTCGGGGAAATATTCTGCAAATGGCTCAGCCTGTGCACCTCTACTGCACGCCCTCTTTCCGCTGACCTTACTCCCCCAACTCAGCCAAACCCCTTTGACTGACACGAGCTTTGGCTTTCATACAACTGCACCTGTCAGTACCTGCATTAGGTAGTGCGTTCCTCTCCTCTGCTGCCCAGCAGCTCAGGAATGAAAAGACTGAATCGTACCGCTCTAAAAACCAACTCCGCTGCTGCGCCCCGCTCCGCACTCCCGCTTTGGCAGGGAAACAAAGCTCTCGAGAGGTGCGCTCTTGCAGCTGCCCATCTCCTGCATTCAACCTTTCTCCTGCCAAAACCCCTTTCAAGCTGCAAGTTCAATTTTGCTGCCATCAAACCAGCTCAGTGTGAATGATCAGCTCGGGGTTTGGGCGATGTCACATGCAAATCATCCCTTCGGCAAGGGAAAAAAAATAACCCAGTTGCCGGACAGACAGAATCCGTTTCTTAACCCCTCTTAGTTACCTTCAGTCCAATACCTTACAAGACCAACAGCAAAGCTCTTAACGGGCCTTTCCACTGGTACTAGAAGTGCTGTCCTTCTGGCCTGAAGATACAGAAGCGCATGTGTTGTGGTCAAATCTGCCCAGTACACCAGTCTCTTCCCTTCAGGGTTCTTCTCCATGTCTCCTACCAAAGGCAGCTTGGTGCTCGTGCAGCAAACAGGAGAGGGGCCAGAGCTGTCTTCACCTTCCCCTTAGCACAGAGCAGCCAAGGGTGCTGTTGGGAGGATTCCCCTCCCTGCAGGGCCTGCAGCCTCTCCTGGGCTGCAGCAGCTCGGCCCCGCACCCCAAGTCACCCCCAGAGCCCCATTCTGCAGACACAAGCGCGGCAGCTTTGTTTTTTTTTTTTTCCAGGTCCACACTCCCACAGAAAACACAAGCCTTACCCTCTAGGGACCGGGCACTTCATCTTTGCATTTCACACTTCACACTATGCCAGTGTTTATCGAACATCACTTGGCTTCGTGTACAGCTGAGCGCTCCCGTGTTTCTGCTCTCCCAGCGTAATCCTCTCCGTTGCTTCCAGGTTATCAGATGCAGAGCTGCTGTTGCCTGGGCCGTGGGCAAACCACTGTCTGTTGAGGAGGTGGAGGTTGCACCTCCAAAGGCAGGCGAAGTCCGGATCAAGGTACAAACACGTTTTGCTATTTTTTTTTCTTTCTTGTGGGAATTGCTCTTCTAGTGGCTATACCTTGACTATACCTGTCAGGGATCTGTGTCTGCTAACAACCAGGCCTGAACTGTCCAGAGAAGCCCTCTGAAAAATCCTTCCACAAACTGAGTCAAGCAGCGGCCAGACCATTTCTAAAGCCCATCATCTACTTTTCCTCTCCGAACAGATTGTGGCCACGGGCATCTGTCGCACAGATGAGCATGTTTTGGAAGGCAGCTTTCCTAACATGGATTTCCCAGTTATCCCAGGCCACGAAGGAGCTGGCATTGTGGAAAGCGTTGGAGAAGGAGCGACTTCTGTGAAACCAGGAAAGACACAACCACACACACACACACCCCCACCCAGGAGCCAGCTCTCAAAGCGGGCGAGGCTGCCCAGAGCTCAGAAATCCCCCCCTGCTCCTGTGTCCGCGGCGCAAAACCTGAGGGCACGCTCATTGCACTGGACTGTCACCTACCCTTTCCTGGTCTGTTCCCCACGCACACGAGTGGGGCTCCGAGCATTTCCTCCTGACAGAGAAATCAGAGGGTTCCTGACAGGATGCGGCCATCGGAGAGCTCAGCAGAGGTGCTCCAACAGGCAGCACCCTCAGGGCCTGCTGAGCCAGAGACACCTAACAAGGATCCGCTCTGTTGCAGGAGACAAAGTCATCCTCATTCCCCTTCCTCAATGCGGGGAATGCAGCTTCTGCCTGAATCCCGAATCAAACTACTGCATGAAGTCCCAGTGAGTTTGCTGCTCCTTCCCCTATACTCAAATGGGGTCGGTGCTCTGTCAACAAGTCCAACACCCCCACGGGTGCTTTACTTAATGAAAAACAAATGCTTGTGCCTCCCAACAGCCTCTCCAAATCACAATGCCTGCTGCCTGATGGGACCAGCCGGTTCAGCTGCAAAGGGAAGCAGATCCACCACTTCCTGTGGGTCAGCACCTTTGCAGAATACACTGTGATCCCGGAGTGCGTCGTTGCCAAGATAGATGCTGCTGCACCTCTGGACAAGGTCTGCTTGCTCGGCTGTGGGTTTTCCACAGGCTACGGGGCTGCCATCAACACCGCCAAGGTTGGTATTCAGGCGTGCCAAGCACAAACACCCCACGGCCGCCCTCGCACCCTTACCAACCCTGTGCAACAGAAATCTCCTCCTCCTCACGCTGGAGGCTCACAGGGCCCCATGCTGTGCAGGTAAAACCAGGCTCCACCTGTGCCATCTTTGGCCTTGGAGGAGTTGGCCTCTCTGTTGTCATGGGCTGCAAGGCGGCTGGAGCTTCCCGCATCATTGCCGTCGATATCAACAAGGACAAGTTTGCCAAGGCCAAGGAGCTGGGGGCCACTGACTGCATCAGTCCTCACGACTTCAAGAAGCCCATCCAGGAGGTGCTCACCGAGATGACCGGCCATGGTGTGGACTACTCCTTTGAGGTCATCGGGCGTGTGGATACCATGGTAGGTGGTATTTCAGCACGTGTCCTCCATTCCCAGCTCATTCATAGGCTCCCCTCAGGGTAAAATTCACCCAGCGGGAAGTTCCTTGCCTGCTGCCTACACTCAGAAAGGCGATCTGTTGGCTTTGTGAGAAAATGATGCACAAGTTTCAAAACAGGCACTGAGCTCTCCCTCTCTGCTGCACAAGGGAGTATTTGTTTTCAGATTACCAGGGAGGGGCAGATAACTGCACAAAGAACACTTTTCTGACCAACTCATCAGTGCGTTCTCTAATTCACCCGCCTGTCCCATCAGGTTGCTGCCCTGGCTTCCTGCAACATGAACACTGGTGTCTGCGTGATGGTTGGGCTACCGCCTTCTGGTTCAATGATGTCTGTCGATCCTATGCTTCTGCTGTCTGGGCGTACGTGGAAGGGGACTCTGCTCGGAGGTATGAAACTTAGGGAAACATTTTAGACATTTCTGTCTCTTCCTGTCATGGTAGTTTCCAAATCATAGACTCACAGAATGGTTTGGGTTGGAAGGGACCTTTGAAGATCATCTAGTCAAACCCTCCTGCTGTGCACAAGGACATCTCGCACCAGACCAGGCTGCTCAAAGCCTCGTCCAACCTGACCTTGAACACTTCCAGGGATGGGGCATCCACACTCCTCTGGGCAACCTGTGCCACTGCCTCACCAGCTGCATCGTAAAACATTTCTTCCTTGTGGCCAATCCAAATCTACCCTTTTTCAGTTTAAAAACTTTACCTCTCCCCCTGAAAATGTGTTTTTCCATCTGAGCAATATCCTCAGATGTAGGAGAAAATGTACTTTTCCTCATAGTCATTACTCACTAATCTCTTGGTCACCCAGAATACTTCAAGTTTGGCAATGTCCCAGGAAGCCTCTGAGAGAACTTACCAGAGGGAAAAAAAACCCAAAAAACCACAACTAAACAGGAGCACTACATTTCCACTGTATAGATAGGCATGAAATGTGCTAATAAACCTGTAACTATTCCATACAGTTCAACACACACAACTGTCTACGCTAACCAGAGACTAAAACAAGGACAAAACCATTCTCCTCACAAGGAGTGGAAAACTTCTCACAAGATGATGGCAGCAGTACCAGTTGCTCAGTCCTGGCCCTACAGTATGTGTAGGAAGATCATAAATGTCCGATGAAAGCAATTCCTTGTTGCCTCGTTACCACCTTCCTGTTGCACCTTGCTCTTTCCTTCCACTACAAGACTCTTCTTCCCTCTCCCACTCTCTTGCTTTCTCTCATACCCAGCCCTCAGTCACACACGTACCCGCCTCCTGGCCTTTCAGGGCTGGCCACTCTCGTACACACTCCCCTCAAGCCCCAGCAATCGACCTCAGCCTCAGCGTGTAGTTCACTGCGATGTAAGTGCCCCTGTCTTGTGCCAGAGGAGGGGCTGCTGCACCTCAAGGACCTTCTCGCTCCCGCCAGCTATACTCCCAGCTCAGAGAAGGGACCCTTTCACATTTTTAGCCTCATCCTATTACTTTTGATGCATTCTGAGAAGTAGCAACAGTGCTTTACAAGGGCACAGCCTCAAGTGTATTTTACAAGTCAGCGCAGCCTGGTAGAGGGGACAAGCCCACAGTCAGCTCTAATATTCTGCTCAGAGGAGAGCTGCTACACTGTTGGCACCAGCAAACTCTACAAAGACTTCTTTACCAAAATTGTATTTCTCTGATTATTCACTGCAAGTGCTTTCTCCCTTTTCTAGGTTGCCACATGAAAGATTGTATCCCCAAATTCATTTCCAGCTATTTGGAGAAGAAATTGAACTTAGACTTGCTGATCACGCACACGCTGCCGATTGCTAAAGTGAACGAGGGATTTGAGTTGTTACGTGCAGGAAAAAGGTGAGATCCGAGATCCTGACTAGCTGGGAGTGAAAGAAGGCCGCCGGTTCTCACGCACACCTGCCTGCCCCGCTGCCTGCTCCTGAACGCTCCCAGCCACGGCGCTCGTAACTCCTCCCTTCCTTTCCACTTTTCAGTATTCGCAGCGTCCTGCTCTTTTGAAGGACACGGCCACGGCAGGTCAAGCGGAGGGACGAGCACAGCACATCACCTCCCTTCTCCTCCAGCACCTCAATTTGTGGGACACAAGGAGACGAGAACGAGGAACCCACCGATGCTGGTGCCGCTGCCAGCACTCCCACGCCCAGACAAGACCCAGAGAGACGCTTCTCCCGAGAAAACGCTTTTACCATTAAAGGGTTTCAGTCAAACTTGTCTCATGCAGTGCGTTCAATCAACAGAGGTCC